CTGTGATGGAAAATACGTTGGACAAACATCACAATGGCTAAAAAGCAGAATCTCGAAACATAAAGGTGATTGTAGATTATCTAACACCGGTTGTGCTCTATCCCAACACGTCATTGATTGTAAACATTCTTTTGATTTTGATAATGTCAAGATTCTTGATTCGGAACCCAATTATCATAATAGGCTTTTTTTGGAAATGGTACTTATCAACTACACCAAGAACACATATTTGTTTGCTAAAGATAATTCCAATGAACACCATAGTGACACGAATCAACACAATAATAATACTGACAACTTTAATTACTCTACTGACATGGTATTTTGATTGGAAATTTAAAAAGTTTTTTCTGTTTATTTATAAGTCAGTTTGAATTTAAATTTATTCCTTAAATTTCATTAACTTTTGGTTTATATATTGTTGTTTGGTTGTTTGGCATCAAGGGTGGTGAGAGTGAAGTTGTTGGAAGGGATGAATAGCGTGTGGAGAGGGGGTGGGATTCCGGAGGAATGGAAAGTGGGGGTAATTTGCCCAGTATATAAAAAGGGTAATAAGGGAAGGGTAGAGAGCTACAGAGGAATTAACCTACTAGACTCGGCATACAAGGTATACACGAAGATACTGTTGGGAAGACTGGAGGAGGAGATGGAGTTGGGGGGAATTTTGCCGGATGGGCAGGCAGGCTTTCGGAAGGGAAGGGGAGCAATCGACAACGTGTACGTGTTGAAGCATCTGGCAGATAGAGAGCTGGATAAGAAGGGAGGGAAATTCTACGCCCTGTTTATAGATTTGAAGGCGGCTTTTGATAAGGTGGATAGGGGAAAGTTGTGGGAGGAGATGGGGAGGAGGGGGATCACGGAACACCTAATTGCGAGAGTGAAGGAAATATACATGGAGACTATGGCTAGGATAAAAGTGGGAGATAAGCTGAGCGACGTGTTCTGGACGACGAAGGGACTGAGGCAGGGATGTCCGCTGAGCCCAAGTCTGTTTGCACTGTATACGGCGGACCTGGAGGATAGATTGGGGAAGGGGCAAATGGGAGGGTTGGTGGTGGGAGGTAGAAAGGTGCATATGTTAGCATACGCGGATGACATCGTGGTCATGGCGAGAGAAGCGGCGGAGATGAAAGATATGATAAAGACATTGGAAAGATATTTTAGGGGGAAGGGGCTGGAAGTGAATGTGGGGAAGACAAGGATGATGAAGTTTTGTAAGGGTGGGAGAAAAAGAACAGAAAACTGGAGATGGGAGGGAAAAGAGATCGAGGAGGTTAGGGAGTATACTTACTTGGGGTATGTGTTCAGGGAGGACAACAGGGAGGGGTCGCATGTGATAGCTATGGCAAAAAAGGCGAATAAGGTGATGGGACAAGTATGGGGTTGGGGGAAGAGAGTCTTTGGAAGGAATGTGGCAGCGAGGAAGATTATGTTTGAAGGTCTGGTTAGCAGTGTGATGATGTATGGAGCAGAGGTATGGGGATGGAGAGAGCAGGCAATGCTGGAGGACGTGCAAGCTAGATACTGGAGATGGGTGCTTGGGGTGGCGAGAGAAACACCGGGGTATATAGTGAGGGAAGAGGTAAAGGTGGATAAAGTCAGAGTGGAGGGGGGCAGGAGAGCAGTGAAATATGAAGAAAGAATAGAAGGGAGGCCAAACTGCGGGATCTTGGGGGAGTGTTGGAGGGAAATTAGAGAGGGAAAGATCAGGTATGGGAAAGGAGACAGAGACAACTATTATAGACGAGCGGGCTACTCGGTAACTGAGATAAATAGTAGACGAAGGGTGGTTAGGGAGATGTGGAGGGAGTTGAGAGATATTTCTTTGTATCGTACTTATCCAATAGGAATTACTATGTCACATATAAAAACACAGTCTCAGATGTGTTGGGGATAGATTCAGGGGTTCCGCAGGGAAGCAATCTGGGACCTTTATTGTTTCTATTATTCATAAATGATTTACCTTTGCTAATTAATCCATCTAGATGCTTACTCTTTGCGGACGATCTGAAAATATTCACATCTGTTCGTGATATAAGTGACTGCCAGTCCTTACAGTCTGATCTGGATAATGTATGCGATTGGTGTCGGCTGAACAAGCTTCACTTTAACGTGGCCAAATGTGAATCAATGACATATTTTTTGGGGAGGAAGCCGATAGAATTTGTGTACAGAATAGATAATATAAATTTGAAATCAGTTGTCAGAAAGAGGGACCTAGGTATTATTTTTACCAACAATTTATGCTTTGCCGAGCACGTGAAAACCATAACTTCCGCAGCACTTCGACTCTTAGGATTTATTATAAGAAATGCTTATAGTTTTTCAAATGTGGAGACGTTAAAATTATTATTCAATTCATTGGTGCGATCTAAATTAGAATACGCGGTAATTGTATGGGATCCTGGATCAGACCTTTATTCAAACTTAATCGAAATTATTCAAAATAAGTTTATTCGGTATACTTATTACAAACAATTTAATGCCTTTATCGGGTTCAGATCGTACGAATTTGCGCGTACATTATTTGATATAACTAAGTTATCTATTAGAAGGAAAATCATATCGCTTTGTTTTCTATGTAAAATATTAAACAATAAAATAGATGCACCTTTATTCTTGGAAAAGATTGGTTTTTACGTGCCGGCATATTGTGGACGATTGAAAAATCTATTTTACATTCCCCGCTTTACCACTGAACTCAGAAGAAATTCTCCTTTTATTAGAATTCTCTTGTTGTATAACAAACTATCTATGGCTTCCTTCATCCCACTATTTGGCGTTGATGTAAAGACAGTAAAAAAGAATTTGATGTCTGTGATGAACGTTGCAATCGCCCAGTGCAGTGGCTGATCTTATAGAATCTTATTATAGTTTCATTCCTCTGTTCTGTTTTACGTTATTGTTTTTATTTTGTATCATTTTGTTTCTTTTTACTTATTTGCTTTTTTATTGTTTGCTTACAAATCGAGTACGGCTTAGTTTAATATTTAATTTAGTTTAATATTTAGTTCAATTTTGTTTAATTATTATGTAGTAATACCGAAATCTGTAATTAGGGGAAACCCTGTTTATTTTGGAAATAAATAAATAGGGACCGAGATGTGCAGAGACAGGAAAGAAGGACACAAATAAAAGAGATAACGAAAGGTACAGGGACATAATTACGGAGGGGCTGCCTAGATACTTGTTATTGGAAGGAGATGAGGAAGGGAAGAAGTTGGTGGCTAGGTTCCGTTGTGGAAACGAGGAGAGAGCTAACAGATATTGGATGGCCGATGAGGAGAGGTGGTGTAGGCTATGCAGGGCGAATGGGAAACGTTGGAACATATGTTGAATGGGTGCAGTGAGTTGAGGGAGGAGGAGTTGGACCGAGAGCAGATCTTAGGAGGGGGGGGGGAGAGGGGAAACGATGGATGAGAACGGTTATGGGGGTGAGGAGACAAAGGGATGGATGAGGGGAGGATTGGGCCGAGGAGCCGAGGGTATGGAAATGGAGGAAGAGGGTAGAGGGTGAAAATAATATACTAATGATATATATTAGGATGTATTAAGGGGAAAATTGTAATTATCAAAAACAATAAAATGCTTATTATTATTGTTGTTTGGTTTCTATTACAAATTTGTTCAATTTACACTATAAGTTAATTTTAAAATTCCCGCTGATTATCTTCCAATTTGTTGGAGTTTGCGCTGTGGTTGACATGTAGCATACGCCGTATTTTAAAAAACGAGTTTTTTATTGTAACAACTTGTTTTAACATAAAATTTTAAATTGTTAACGTAATTTTTCTATTTCAATTTTATTATGGACAAATTTAGTAATTTTCAATATTTTAAAAATTTTTTAACAAGTTTATTATGAAGTCAAACTCTGCTCATTCCCTAGTCTCATTAAACAAGTAAGTTGGTTTTTTGCTAGTTATTTTTTCTTGAATGATTATCAAACTTTTAATTGTTGGTGTTTATCTTGTAAAACCTTTTAGCATTGAATAGCTCTGAGGAAGATTGAATAAACAATCGAAATATTAGCACTTTTAGAAAGTTGTTTCATTAATCATCATTTTGACCGTTAACACCGACAAATTCATCGTTTTTGTAGCTCACGTACGGTAGCGGATACTTCTTGCCATTATTATAATCAACCCGACTACTATGCCGATTTGACTAATGAAAATAACGAACAGACAAATGATAACGAAGATGAAGTAAATTTTCATGCAATAGGCCTCTTCCATCGAAACCCAAAACGAAAAATAAGCCCGAAACTATCGAATTAAACAACATTAGCAGTACTCTTCCATATATACAATTTAGCGGACTTAAATTTTTGATCGACACAGGTTCCACTAAAACTTTATTAAATTCATTAATATATAAAAATTTCAAAGATTTTGCGATAAAAATGCCTTTTATAGTAAAGACAGCGCATGGAACATCATGTCACAATGACGCTATCTATGTAGAAATTCCAGACATATTTAAAGCGCCAATCAAACACGTTTTCTATAAATTCGATTTTATTACAAAAATTAAGCGCAGTTTTAGATATTCAAAGAAGAGAATTAATTGCTGAAAATACGCAAATTCCAATCAATTTTAGAGAGAACAGAGTAGTTTTAAATGCCCTCGAATCAAAACCCGTACGAATACCCGTAAATCAGCTGGACGGTATCGCTTACGCAGAAGGACTCCGAAGTAAACATCATAGGCTAGGCGCAAATTGAGACACGTCTGACACGTGCGACATGACGTGACACGACCGAGATGACGCGAACACATGGCACGCGTAGCGTTGACATTCGCAAATTGACACGCAGTTTTTTACGGCTCGCGATCACTAGCAACGCGGTTTTTTATCTTACAATGAACGAGAGAAGAAGAAAATTAGAGTTATTATTTTATTAAGCTAAGTATTATTATATCCGTTGACGAAAAAAAAACTAAAGTCCCCTAATAACTTTTACCTATCCAAAAGAAAAAGTCATGGGCAATTTAAAATGACCTCCGAATTTCCGAATGATGTCTTCACCAATTATTTCCGTTTGAACCGAAACCAGTTTGGTGAAGTACATGGGATGATTCAACAATTTATTGATGCAGATGGATGCAATGCTCAAAAGCCGATAGGAACTGAAGAAAAACTTGGAGTATTCTTGAGGTAAGTAATAGTAGTATAAAACAATTATTCCCTGTAAGTTTCAAACATTACTTTATTTCAAATAAACAACACAAAACATATTTTTAAAAAGGTCAGACTACACAAGGTATTTAACAAATATAGTGTTAATTATCGAACTTATAATTGCAAAAATAGTTAGTCAGGCACAAACTGTTGAGAAGCTATTATTTCTGCTTCTGCTCCTGACACTGCCTGGAAAACTTCCGATCTGACCCTGTTGATAACGGGGAGGCATTCGTTTTGTTAGTTGATACATTGAAATAAAAAAATTATATAGGGGGTCGTCCATGTTCGCGCTTTCCTCCAATAGTCTTCTCCTATCTTCCGTTCGCTGTCGTGCCCTTTCTTCTCTCTGTTGAATCGATCGATTCATAATATCACAGATGTCGTCGACAGTACCTTTTTTTTCTTTTTGCGTGGAGTCTGTGCTATTAAATTTGGAGTCTCAGGTGATGATAAAGTTGCACGCTTTGCTCCATTACCTTTGTCTCCAATAGGACCTAGGGATTGCTCAACGATAGTTCCCTCGTCCTGACTTTCCACCAAATTTTCATTGCATGATGGTTCTGATGGAGGATGGGAATCGTCATTACTTTCATCCATATTTCCTTCACGTGGGCCAGTTGTCATAAACGGTTCAAGGAATGACATCTGTTTTTGAAACTTCCACGGCTTGACGTGCTGTGGAGCAGAGCCACTTTTATAGCATTTTTGCTGCCGTCGTCGAGCATCTCGAAAGCTGCCTCTCAATTTCAGCCAAATATTTTTTGTTTCTTCTCCTGTAACAAGTGTTTTATGATTTCTTTACATAGTTATTATATTATTTTTAAGAGAAATAGTTTTCAAATATTTTACTACTTTTCGATTTCTTTCTTTTCAGTACTTAATATAATATCTTTTTTTTAGATATTTGGCCAGTGGTGACAGCTATAAAAGTATGGCTTACAACTACAGAATGGGAGATCGAATGGTATCTAATATTGTAAAAGAGGTAGCCGTCGTCATATGGGAACGTATGCAACCAAAATACCTTCCAGAACCTACGGCAAATGTATGGAAGTCAGTTACTACCAGATTTGAACAAAGATGGCAATTTCCGCATTGCGTTGGAGCAGTGGATGGAAAACATGTCGTAATCAAAAAGCCTGCCAACAGCGGTTCTTCTTACTATAATTATAAACACACATTTTTTGTGGTTTTATTAGCCACAGTTGATGCTGATTACAAATTTATCACCGTTGATGTTGGAGCCATGGGAAGATTTAGTGATGCAAATTTGTTTTCGAGCAGTGCACTAGGCAGAAAAATGATGAAACGCACTTTACTACTTCCGTCGCCGGCACAACTACTTACGATTGCTAACTTAGTACCGTACGTTTTTGTAGGAGATGAAGCGTTCCCTTTATCAGAAAATCTAATGAGACCGTATATAAGAAGATATGTAACTGGTAATTACGCACATCAAGTTTTCAATGCTCGGCTTTCCCGAGCTCGACAGACAGTGGACTGTGCGTTTGGTATACTAGCTTCACGGTTTCGTGTCTTTAGAAGACCCTTTGAAAGTAAAATTGACACGTTAACTGACGTTGTAAAAGCAGCCTGCGTTTTATACAACTATTTACGATCGTCAGTACAGATCACAAATGATAATGTGGATGACATTGTACGATTGCCAAATAATCAATTACTTTCAGTACGTGCTAGCAATGTTAGAAATACGTCAAAAACGTTTAGAGTAAGGGAACAATTCACGGAATACTTCAATAATTGGGGAGCTGTCCCACGGCAACATCAAACCCTTATGCTTGGAAATTACTAACATTACACACAATTTTGCAATTTTAAATAATATTAAGGTTAAATTAGGGTTAAAGTAGTAAACATAGTATATTTATTGTGATTGTTGGATGCTTATAATAAAAAATGTTACTTACCATCTTTTAAGTTCATCTCCTTTGAAATTTCAGACCAAATCCTGCTTTTCAACTTCGTTTTTGGTGGAACAACATGAGAGAAACAGTCACGAATTACATTAAGAAATGTGAAATTTGTAATCGCAACCACCCCTACAAATTACACAAACTCCAGACAGGCCATTTAAAAAATTATTTATGGACACATTTTCAATCAGCAACAGAAAATATTTAACAGTCATTGATGTATTTTCAAGAATGGCACAAGCTATTCCTTTGAAGAGCGCTAATGCCACCGATGTAGCCGACGCCTTAACCACGTATTTTCAATTTTATGGAACACCAGAAGAGATCAGTTGTGACAAAGGTACCGAATTCAACAACTCCACTATTAAACAACTATTAGAAGCACACAAAATATCAATCCATTTCGGAACCCAATTGAATCCAAATTCTCAAGGAAACATTGAACGATTTCATTCTACGTTGATTGATCACGTGCGATGTCTTCGTGAAACCAACACACGATCGAAAGCACACACGAAAGCTAGCAGTTATTGCATATAACAGCAGCATCTCAAAACCTATCGGAGCCACTCCGCTAGAAGTTGTTTTTGGTCATACATCGCTAAGAGATCCCATGGATTTACTGTATTCGAAAGATTACTTTGCGGATTACATTCAAAATCACAAAGAACGACTTAAACATCTATATAAAACCATAGAACAAAAAAATAAAGCATGCAAAGAAAAATACGTGAATAAACGAAAAGAAAAGATCAAAGGAAAACCATTCAAAGTAAATGAATTGGTGTACATAAGAAACGCAGGAAGGAATAAACTTCAAAACCCCTATTTAGGTCCTTATAAAATTACGAAAATAAATGACGACGAGAGTACTGTCATAGTAAAAACTAAATCACGAGAAAGACGATATCATACAAGAACTCTAAAACATTCCATTATTACAGGAACCTCGGTTTCATGTTCCGTGGCCACTGGTACGACGTTACGATAACTAACATAGAAGACCCAAAACATACCGTATTATTGGGCAGAGCTCAAAATGCTCATAGTTATTGGAGCCTAACAACCGTCTACGATCTAGCGCAATTATTGCACGAAATGGAGACAACCAAACGACATTATCAAGATTGTTTAAAAATGATCAACCAAACGGAATCATTCTATGAAAGAGAAATTTTATATCTATAATGAAAACAGGAATAGAACAAATGACAAGACAGGTCGAGGATATATTGCCGAAGAATCATCCAAAATCAAAAAGAGAAGCAATTAACATTGCGGGAAGTATAATAAAGGCCATTACAGGAAACCTACACGAAGACGATGCCCTTCGTTACGATCAAGCGATACAGGAACTCCAATCGTCTCAAAAGAAAATTAAAACCATCGTCGATAAATAAATTACTTTATCGACCAAAACCTTGACAAAATTTGACGATTCGATAAAGATTCTTAAATCAAATCAAGTGATCCTTACGTCAAGAATACTACAGATGGGAGCCGCAATGAAAAACGCATCCTATTACGCTTTGGAATCTCGAAAATTTATGTCAATGTATGCTATCATTAATCAATTAATATTTATGATCGACAGACTTAATAGCCTTCTATCTACTGTAACAAATTCCATAGTATTCGCAAAAGCAGGAATATTTCATCCATCTATTCTCGACAAAAATACTTTGCATCATGAACTGGTACATATTGAAAAACAACTTACAGATGACAAATTACCAATAAATCCCGACGAAGAATGGCATGTACTACATAGAGCAAATAATTACACTTAAAGCTTTTATGAAAGATTCTAAATTATTTTATGTTCTTATGATTCCTATCGTTGAAAAGCTACCCTATTCCCTATATCAACTATTTCCACTTCCAAGAAGATACAATTTGTCTACTTTCGCCTCAATTACTCCTAAAACTCCTTATTTAGCAATCAAATGAAAAGTTTATAGCTACTCACACTGCATGCAGAGAAGTTTTACCGTCAGAACTTATATGTCACGAAACCAGTCATCAAATCAATCTTGAAGAAACTCCATGCGAAGTACGATTAATTCTGATTATGGGACAATATGAAAATTGTGAAATAAAAATGGACGAAGTATTAACCCCGAGAATTACAAGAATAATAGACAATCGATGGCTTATCACAACATCCACACCTCAAAAGGTAAAGAAGAATTGTAGGAAGATAGAAGAATTTGAAATATTGAATGGTACCTACATCATTAAAATAACACCTGGATGTTTTCTACAAATTGGCGCTGCCACCCTGAAAGCATACCGATCCCGACTAGTTGCCGAAAGAATAATCAAGATTCCGCATCTGAAAATATCCGACATACCCGAACAAAAACTACTTTGGAATGGAGAAATAGAGAAACTAAAAGAAGTCCAAGATGGTAAAGTTCAAGACGTTATTGGTGAATTGGAGAAACTGTCAGAAGACGTGAGAAGAATTGAAGAACCATATCTACACGAGAGACCAATCACAATATGGACCATTATATTATACTGTTTAATCATAGTTCTAATTGCAGGGTTGATAAGTAAGAAAATTTACAGAAAAAAGAAAATTAATTAAATAAACAAACATGGTCATTTTAAGAAAATTCCAGGCTATGTTTCCCTCTTTGGCGAGAGGAGTTATAGATGCCCTCCAAGAGTAAATGCTGAATAAGCATTTCCGATAGTATATAATCCAGAGCGCAATTACGAAAGAGGAGACTAAGCTATCATCGCGGCGTCGCCGCACTTCGTAAAATTCGAAACTTAGATTTAAGATTAAATAAGTAAATTTTCAATTATAAAAATTTTAAATACCAAACTTAAATTTTTGTAAACTTGGTTTTTAAATAAAATAAACTTTTTAAAAACAAAAATTCTGATCTTAGAATTTTACCTTACCCCTAGATTTTGAAAAACGTAGTACATATTGTAATTGGTTTAAAGAAAATTTAAGAAATAATGATGTATTGGACAAAATATTTTTTTTGGTTTTATTTAAATGGTTATGTGAACTCACAAAATTATCGACATTGGAGTTCCGAAAATCCACATATTTTCAATAAAGCACAATTACAGCCGGTACGATACTTGTTGAGCCAAATTTCTCGGAAAATCACTACGTAAGATTTTTGGAATCTATAACAACCGACACCCAGAAAGTCATTGGCGGCGGTATAGCAAGTGGGTTCTTATACTTGCAATAAGCGTTTGTTTATCGTGAATTGCAATTGATTTACGTAACGTAAGTTGTTTTATGCATTTGCAGTGTAATTTCTTATGAAAAGAAATCAATGAAAGTGGGAAATAAAAGACGGGAACTTAATTCTCAGTCGAAGAGTATTATATTTAAGGTCTATCTACTTAAGGTGTATTATTTTTATGTTTCAAAACCAAAAATCCGGAAAAATTACCGAAAATTAAATATATCCGAGTATACTTCCCACACTACCACGATATGTTACAGTTTTCATCCGATGTGCAGAATTCCGGAAAAGATATCTTATCACCTTATCACTGCCCGTTTATGCAACCCATTTCACATTTTATTAATTATGATTATTTTCTTAATTAAACTTTGATTTTCACCGTTTCCCATTTCGAAACCGTTACCTTAACTTCCGACAAAATTCTCTGATCAAATCATCAATAAATAAAAGTAATTAATAAAGTTGCAGGTTATTTGGGCATGCGAAAAACTCAGATGTTATATAGAAGGTCCACAAAAGTTCACAGTCATAACCGATCATCATAGCCTTGTTTGGTTACACAACCTTAAAAATCCAAACGTAGATTAGGACGATGGGTTTTACGTTTGCAGGGTTTTAATTATGAAATTATCCATAGACCAGGTAAATGTAATGTTGTAGCAGACTGCTTATCACGAACTTCATTGGGTAATAATAGAGACAACAATAATGAAAATAACGAACCAAATAAAACACTTAATATAATAGAAATTAACGAAGATGATTATAAATCGGATAAATGGTATTCAAAATTATTTACAAAAATTAATACGAAACCATTAGATTTTCCTAATTGGAGAATTGATGAGAATAACAAACTATATAGACATATACAAGACAATAATTTTAACAGTGAACTATATAATTGGAAATTAGTTGTACCAAAAGCTGCCAGAAATAAAATTTTAGATAAATATCACAATCATCCAAAAGCAGGTCATTTAGGAATCCACAAAACGTATTATAGAATTCTTGCTAATTATTATTGGCCAAAATTAAAATCAGACTGTTATAGATTTATTAATAGATGTCGTATATGCCAAGAACAAAAACCAGAACAAAGAAAAAAAGCGGAAGAAATGGGTTCAAAGCCAAATATTACTTCTTGTTGGCAATATATTGCAACAGATATTATAGGTCCTCTAGTAACAAGTTCTCAAGGAAATAAATTTATATTAACAATTTGCGATTATTTCAGCAAGTTTACATTGTTCTTTCCTATGAGAAATTCAAATGCTAAAACAGTACAAAAAATACTAGAAAACAACGTATTCTTAATTTTTGGAGTACCCGAGTATCTTAAAACAGATAACGGAGTGCAATTTAAAAGCAAGGATTTTAATCATTTTTTTAAAGAATATGGTGTAAAGTTACTTAACAATCCTTTATATCATCCCGAACCAAACTTTTCAGAAAGGTATAATCGTATAATCAAAGTAATGATTTCATCCTACATTACAAACAATCAAAAACTTTGGGATAAATATTTACCGCAATTAGGTTGTGCTTTAAGAACATCTAAATCGGAAGTAACCCAAAACACACCTTATTTTATTAATCTTGGTAATGAAATGATACTAGATGGTAGACAATACGCACATAACAGAGATAAAATTGGCATAGTTGATAGTAATACGACAGAAAATAACTCCGACGAAAAAACAAATAAACTAAAAATAATTCGAAAATTTGTAAAAACAAAATTAAATGATTCTCATTTAAAAACTAAACATAATTATAATTTACGACATAGACCAGTACAATTTAAATTAGGTGATTATTTCTGGAAAAGAGAATATTCACTGTCAGATGCTTCAAAGAATTATTCAGCTAAATTAGGAAAAAAGGTTACAGGTCCATATAAAATTAAAAATAAATTAGGTATAAATACTTATGAATTAGAGGATAGGGACGGTAAATCAAAAGGAAATTTTGCATTTAATACGGAAACGGTGGTTTTTATCAATATTCTCTAAGAGTGATAAAAGTTTCTAAACTAAATTTACTATTAGAAAATGCAAAAATAAATGTAGGGTTATGATAGGATAAAAAAGTTCTGAGCAAACAAACTTTATGAACAGCCTGTATAGCATTGTTCCCGCGTACCGATCCAACTCAAAAATTGCCTAATGATTTTACGTGATGTTAGTTTACGCTGTACCAAATTTCAACGCTTTACCATAAATAGTGTTTAAGATATTTACAAAAAATTTTATAATAAATTTTGAGTCGTGAAGACAAAACGCAAGTTAGCGGATTAATTCACAATACGATATTTTCTTTTGATAATAGTAATTATCATTTACGGAGTTTTCCGGAATTTTTTTTATCACGAAATAAAAATTTATTCGACGTAAAGCCTCGTGGAAATTGAGGTAAGATTTTGTCATTCTTGTTAAATAAAATCATTCATTATTTTTTTTTTTTGCTGAAACTTAATATTAACGCATAGAATGTTCATTTTTCAATATAGGCTTTTTCTTTTGTTCCACCATTTTGTCTGAGAGGAAATTATCATCCTCAAATTTAATCCACCGCCATCCAGAGGAATTAAAAGCTGACGATTCTGAGATCCTTCGATTTGAAGACGATATCCATTAAGGTCAGATCGATTCTACGTATTTTTTTTATTATTTCGGTTGCTTCACAACCTATATATATTTATATTTGTTTTGTAAAGAAGTTCTGTTTCATTGAAAGACTATAGTCGAGCCGTCGAATTTGTGCAGTGGTAAATCACCGTGACAGGTACTTACAAAAAAAGTGGGAGTCGGTTCCTTCGTTATGTAACCGCCTACTCCCGCCAGGGTCTATAAGGCGCAGCTACACTATACGAGAATAAACCTTCCTTTACAGTCAGATAAGAAGTTATGAATACCGTTCACAGTGCGTCGGCGGCTTTTATTATTTTTTTGTCCCCAGTAACGCGCTCAGTGCGCTACCCCCAGGAGGGGTGTGGTCACTTACTTTGACGAATCCGGACAGGGCGACCTTCGATGTGAAAAATGTACCTACCTGTCACGGTGATTTATCACTGCACAAATTCGACGGCTCGACTATACATCTATTATTTTTTTTACTTTTCAATCTTACTCGTACAACTCAAGCTTGCGTTAGAGAAGGTTATTAGTAATTTTATTTTTTTTATACAATACAAACAGACTTCGTCTAATCAGTAATATTATATAAATAGAGTTATAAAGAAAGAACCTTATGTAACATTTTTTTTATATTGTCACTTCTTAAATTTTTTTTATAAATCTTTACCTTACGATATCTCAAACATTTTCTTTGTTTTCCTTATACCGCCCTGAGAGTGTAGCAATCCATGCAAGTATAAACATTTTCAAGACGATTTACTACGAGATCGTATAGTCCTTGGCATACGAAACCGAGATATAAGAAAGAAATTAATGTTAAAAAGTGCTTTAACTCTTGCACAGGCGATCGATATATGTAAAGTTGATGAAATTACGTCTCTAAGACTCAAACACTTGGAGCATAACGAAACAGGATCCATAAATAAGTTAATAAATAAAGATAAGGATAAAACCTGCTTGTTCTGTGGTAACAAACATAAGTTTGTGAAAGGAATGTGGAAATATGTGCGAAATATAAGGGAACAAACCATTTTGCAAAAGTTTCAAAGAAGAAGAAAGAAAATGATAAAAATACCAAGAAATTCAAAAAAGTTAAAGAAATAAAAGAGAATGAATCAAGCGATGAAGAAGAACTGCAAGGTAGAAATGATGCGGAAGGTGAAATCAAGAAAATATTGGACTATTCTTCTAAGGGATGATCAGTTAGAGCTGAATTATATTTCAAAGTTAGCAACGAATTTACTAAATTATTATGTGACTTAGATACTGGGGCTAATGTTAGTCTCATTGGAAAGAATCAACTTAAAGCACTTATGAAAATGAGAGAAGTTGAACTTGGTAAGTCAAATCATAACCTCTATGATTTTGGTGGATATAAAATAAACGTAATCGGAGAAAAACGATTAACATGAAAGCACAAGGGTGTGGTACATGAAATCAAATTTCAAGTGGTGGATGTAAACCATGGGCCTTTATTATCAACTCATGATTTTAAGAACCTGGGATTAATAAAATTTTGTAATTCTGTCATAAATGATAAATCACAAGCGATGAATCATCATACGATTTAATACAGGAAGCTAATAATTTAATTGATAATTATAAAGAAGTATTTCAAGGATATGGATGTTTAAACTGTTAATTTAGAGATAAATAAAGAAATAAAACCGAGTATTCAAAAAGCGAGAAGGATACCAATCAACTTAAGAGAAAAACTAAAAAACGAATTAAACAGACTGGAAAAACATAACATCACACAAAAAGTGGAAAAACACACTGATTGGGTGAGCAATATTCTTTTAGTAGAACGGAATGATAGTTTAAGAATTTGTTTAGACCCAATTCCACTTAATAAAGCTTTTGAAATTTTACCTGAATTGGGTAAAGCAAAAATTTTTAGTACGATGGATATGAAGAAAGGATGTATGTATGTATGTAAGTGTGGAGTGCGTAGTTTTTACGCGCGCACTTAGGCCCCAGTGGGCCCCTTGTGCATTCTCCTTTCGAGGCTTGAGATGGTATGAGAAAGCATCTCGTTAGGTGACGATACCGCTTACTCGTTGCCAATGACGAGTTACCGCCGCCCCAACCCCCCGACCCACACATCATCTCGACCGCAACCTGGCGGAGCGCACGGCTGCTCAACGTCCTGGCGGAGCGCACGGCAGCTCAACGACCTGGCGGAGCGCACGGCAGCTCAACGTCCTGGCGGAGCGCACGACTCGCTCAACGGCCTGGCGCAGGCCAATCAGCGTGGGCGTGGGGTCAGAGAGCGCTCACGCGCATTCGTCCCTATAAAGTCAAGCCTCACACACATGCGTGCTGCTAACGACAACCAGAGATTGACGACTGGTTGCCGGGACCGACGGCTTAACGTCCCCTCCGAAGGACGGGGGGCGACTCAACGTGAATTCACCGGGGTTCGAACCCGGGACGTCTGCGTGTTAACCCGAGAGCTAACACGCTGAGCCATCACGCCCCCTTATGATGAAAGGATTTTAGCAGGTTAAATTGGATAACGAAAGTTCGGATTTAACAACTTTTTGGACACCTTATGGACGTTACAAGCGGATGAGAATGCCTTTCGGCATCGCTTCAGCACCTGAAATTTTTCAGAATAAGATGAAAGAAATGTTGGTAGATTTAGATGAAATTGAGATACTAGTTGATGACATTTTGGTTATTGGTCGTGGAGACAATGAACGAGAAGCTTTGCGAGACCACAACAGGAATTTGGAACGATTATTGATTCGTTTGAGAAAAGCAAATTGTAAATTAAATAGAAGTAAATTAAATCTCTGCATAAAATCAGTCAAGTTTTATGGTCATATGTTAACAGACAAAGGTGCCAGAGGAAAAGAAAATTGAATCAATCGTAAAATTTCCTATTCCTAGTAATAAGAAGGATTTTTATCATTCTTTGAACTTTTCTTGGCAGGCGTGCATTTACAGCCCTTTGTCGCATGTTTTCTTTTAGTAAAGAAGTTTCTAGATTTTTTAAAAACATTCTTCGACTTTTACTAAACTCACCATCAGGGCTGTTTGCTTTATAAATTATAAAAGCGTTAATCGCAGCGACGTTCATCAATCCATAAAATATGACCATAGGCCAACGTCGTGTGTTTCTGGCTGGATTGTATGCTGTTATCATTCGGTCGAGAACATCTACACCACCTTTGGTCATATTATAAAAACTGACCACTTCTGGTTTAGCTTTTTCACCAGTACTTTGATCAATAGCAGTGTCATTATGCATTGACGAAATCAATAAAACATTTTTTGATTTTTTTGGAACGTATGAAACAGCCATCATGTCTTTACTAAAAGCAAATAGCGACGAATTCACTTTCCTGTTCTTTACCTGTGTTATTTCTAAAGGTAATTCCCTTCTGTTGGCCCGAATAGTTGCCACTACAGTGAGGCGATGCTCTCGTAATAGCAAACTAGCTATTTTATATCCGGTAAACCAACGATCCATGGTTACATTTCGTCCAGATCCGGATAGGTGCATACACATCCTCTCTGTGACAGCAGCTGTTGAATTATCGATTTTAAATGGGCCTTCGGGTTGAGTCCCTGCATAGATTTCTAAATGGGATGTGTAGAATGTCCTAGAATCGACCATTGAGAACACTTTTAAGCCGTATTTATTTGGCTTATTTGGGATATACATTTTAAATCTGCATCTCCCACGAAATGCAAGTAGCATTTCATCAAGGGTAACGTACTCCCCAACAGAATAGTGTACTTTGCACTGTTCATTGAACTTTATCATCATTTCCCTTACGGCAGCAAGATTGTCTTGGGATTTTCTGACCTCTCTGGTGTTTGTGTCATCAAACCGTAGGCATCTCAACAAAAATTTAACCCTTCTTTGAGCCATTGCAGCAGGAAATATTTCGCATCCTAGGCCATTGTCGCTATAAAATTCAGCAATGTGTTTTCGTCCTCCATGCTGCGAACCTGCTAGATACAGCAGATCTAGTAATGCCATTATTTCAGTGGTATTTGTTTCCTTGTAGTCGTACTGATCTTGATATCTATTTGAAATTTTTGTGATATATGGATTAGTGTTTACTACAATGACATTCACGATTTCTTCGAAAAAATACAACCAACATTGCATTGGCGTCTTTCCATTCTTTGCCAGTCCCAACACACCTGGAAGATGTGTTACAATGTTCCTTTGCCGCGTTCGAACATTCAACGGTGCAGCTTCCTTACTCCATTTTGTCCCATCCTTTCCATAAAAGTACTTAGATCTGCTTCTTCGCAAAAGATTGGCTTGTTCTTCTACATCTGAAAACGACTCTTGCTCAGTATCTGATTCATGGTCACTTACAAGGTTATGGTCTTCGTCGGCCAAAGATTCATTATCACTTTCAGTCAACTCTGAAAGTTCATCACTATTTACTTCATCGGCAAAGCGTTCTAACCTTTTTACCTCTCGTTCATATGAACACATATTGAAATAAAAAAAACCTATAAGGGAGAGAAAAAAGAAAATACGTAAATATGCTTGATATTTATATATAACTATAGAATTATTTACCTTCGATAATCCAAAAAAATTTAACAAACACTTATAATAACTTGTTTTTATGTCACTCTCTGGAAAACAATTCACTAACAAAAGTAATAAACGACTGAACCACGTTTGTGTACAGAAGCCAAGTGGTGATGTTAGGGGAATCACGGACCGTTATACACTAGCGAAGTCATTGTAAGAAGGGAATACCCCGAATTTAAATTTAGCAATTTGGAACTTATTGAGAAAATAGAAAATTTAAAATTTACTTCTATATTTTTTTTAAATTCTACCAAAAGAGTAATGAAAACACGTATTTGTTTTTTTATAAGATGTTACATGAGTGAACGGGTGAGGCCTATTAGGACATTTTTATTTTTTTTTCAAAAAAATTGTCACATACTTTATTAGAAATTTTTATAAAAATTCGGGTTTTTTTATTTGTGAAAGGTACACGGAAGCCCACGGTGCCAAAATTTTTCTTACAAAAATTACAGCAATATATAAGTATTGGGTGTACTCACAGGCCTCACCCGTCTACTGGAGGGTTAAAGAAATTACTTCAGAGAAGACAATTCCGAAAAGCTCTGTCAAAGATACTCAAGACAAAAGACAAGAAGAAGTAGATGTTGAAGAACACACGAAAGAAAACCGAAGAATGGAAACACAGGAAGAAGGGAAGCAAGATGGATTTGTTGATGCGAATAAAGAAACGGAAGATTTGACGATCTCCAAACCGGAGAAGACAAAGGAACCAAGAAAGAACTAAGTTTAAAGATTACGTAAAATAATTCACTAAATTATATTAAAAAAGAAAAAAAAGAGCATGTTACAGAATGTATCCATTTTTAGTAACTTTCAATATATCGAGGTTGGTAACAGGGAAAAGAGAGGCAGTCCGGCGTTAAGAAAAAGCATCTTGTACGTTGTCGTTATAAAAGTTATATTGTAGCAGTAAAATAGAAATAAGGGATTCTTTTATATAAAAAATAATTTCGATTAACGTGTTTTATGATACGTTAACAGTTGCTGAATCACGAAAACATGTGTTCACCGAAAATGATTATCAAATAATTAAATAATACCGAAATGAACTGATTTTCAAACAAAATAAGACGAGCAACGTGTTTCTATCAGTCCAGCCGACCGTTCTGAGGAAGTTTCAGCGATCAGCGAACTATCGATGAGCTACCGTACAGTGACTATTTTTTATGATACGCAATTAGAAATCATAGAACGCCCAAACCGATTTCAAACGCTTGCAAATATCGTGAACTAACCATTGAACAATTTTAAAGAAGATCCGCTCATTATTAATAAAGTTATGAATCAAGATCATCTCGCATCATAATTAATTTACTCCGTTCCTGATCAAAAATACGTTCTCTAATAATAAGGTGGCGCCCGAGCACCGTTAAGATCCCATCAAGCGCCAAAGTCGACCCTTTTGTACCAGAAAAGGGACATCACAAATTATTTGGATAAAATTAAATGTTATAGGAGGTAGACCCATTTTATATCATTTTAGATGAAACTTACCTTCACGCAGGTCATACTAGTTCCAATAGTTGGACAAATAATAGCACTAATGGTTTATCACCCATATCTAAAGGCAATCAATTCGTTATTGTTCACGCCGGTGATGAAACGAGTTTCATACTGGTCTCTTGATTTTCAAATCTGGAACCAAAGGCGGAGACTACCATAGCGACATGAACTCGCAGAATTATGAAAAGTGGCTTAAAGAGTAGCTAATTAAAATCTTCCATCTAAATGTGTTGTCATAAGTGACAATGCACCCTATCGTAATGTACAGGGTCTGTCACGACGAGCTGAGTCTATAAGTATATGACAAACTACTGTCACTATTTTTGTGAAAATATGCATACAGGGTTTACCCGAAGTGCTCGTTTCAGCTAAAATATTTTCAGTTTTCTCCAACTTCTCGTTATATCAGAAATGGACCCCAACTTCGTTATTTTAAATGGAATGTACCAATTTTTATTGAACTTTCGAGATCCCCGCTAAATTTTAATATAATTTGATATAAGTCATCATATGTCTAGAGTGCACTATTTTTGAATTATTTCAGTTTTTTCGAAATTTTCTTCACAATAAAAATAATTTTTCGATATTACACTCGACTCCGGCTAAATATTTTAGAACGGTTATTAACAATGCATGGTATAAAATTCTCAATATGACGATTATATCTAATGTAATCACAGAAGAATCGTCATCCACAAATACAGAACGACAGATACATAAAAACATAAAAGACAAGAATTCATATAAGAATAATACAAAAAATAACAACAAACCTTGATAACACAATTCATGACTAAACAAACAGAAGGTATACATACCGAACTAGAAAATGCTGATAAACCTCTGAGAATGAATGACAGATGAAACAATTTCTTCAGAATTAAGTACACACCAGAACTGACGAATAAAGTAACAAATGTTTTCAAAAAGTACAAGGTAGCAGAGGTGAAATTAGCCAAAGATAATGACAACAAACTTGGGAACTTAATAACCAATATGAAAGAGAAAATTAATGTAACAGATAAAATCAACACTGTATATAGGCTGGATTGTGTAGATTGTAAAAAGATATACATAGGAGACACTAAATAGCATATAAAAAACGCATACAGCAACATAAATATTATACATGAAAATATATATATATACAGGGTGATTCATAAGTAATGGGCGAAATTGTAAATGTACGTTCAGGAGGCCAAAATAATAATATTTTCATTAACAATAATGGGTCTTAGTCTGCTCCTTACTGAGATACAGGATGTTAAAGCGAAAAAAATAAAATAGATTTTTGTTAATAGATCAGCTACTTTTCTACATAATGACTCATAGTTGACTTATAGTTTTTGTAAGGGTA